AGGCGGCACAATTGAACGTGATATGACGGCATACTCGAACCAAGTCCTTGTAACCGTCCAACAAAATGGTTGGATGGATACAAGGGTTTGGAACGAAACGTTTATCAACGGTCAGTGGGCAGAATTTGTTTGTGACGAATTCCCAGACCCTCTAGCCATCTACGTCGACAATCTGAAGTGCCATGTGTCCGAGACCGCGCAGGAAGCATTCGCGTCGTGGGGGACAGAGCTCGTGCCTCTACCAAAAAACACTACTGCTGTACTACAACCTCTGGACGTGGGCATCATGGGCCCGTTCAAGAAGAAGCTACGCTCGCTGACGCTATCCTACAACTTAACCTCCATCCAGAGGAATGGGTCCCTGCCTCTGCGGGAGAGACTGCTGGCGCTCAAGCGCATGTCTGCAGATGAGAAGAGAAAGCTGCTTGTAGACAGGGTAGTGACAGCGTGGGCGGCCATCGACGAGCGCTGCATCAAGCGGGCTTGGGAGAAAGCTGGACTGTAATACATGTACATCTTTACAGTTGATTGGATAAAAATATTAGGATTTGAAAGCATAGATAACGAAAAACCAAAAGTGTCATATTAAAGTGTCCTCGTCTGTATCGTTTGGGCCACGCGCAAGTTCCGCTGCTGCCTGGACCGTTGCGAGTTCGACCTTTACACGGACCACAAAGCTTTGACGTGGGTATTCAACGAAACTAATCGTACGAGCAACGCTAAGCTGGCTAGGTGGGCCATGGAGTTGTCTCAATTACGTTTCAAGGTGTTCCACAAGCCTGGTACTTCGATGGGTCATGTGGATGGTCTGTCCAGGCTGTATACCCAAACCATCAATGCTATCTCTATGGCGGAGCTACTCAACGATGCTGACGAGCCCCTCCTTGTACTGTCGAAGTCGGGGAGACTACGACTCTCGACTCAACTCTGCTCCCTTCAGGGACCTTGCCCGAGGACGCTGGCGAAGCTAGACCCGAGCCGTTCCCCGACGAAGAAGAGGTTACCGACCAACTCCTAGTGTCCCCCGTTGATGTGTTCGGGTTACAACAAACTCGCTTCGTGGAAGAACAGAAGAGGACACCCTGGATCCAAGCTATGATAGCGTTCCTTAGCGATGGAGCTCTAGCTCTGGACCCTCAAATGCGCACCAAAATCCTGCTGATGGCGCCTAACTACTCGGTAAAGAACGGAGTACTCATGCGTCGCGTACACCTGAAGGCTCGCGCTGGACCGGCGTCTACTCTTGAAGTTCCTGTGATTCCCCTGCCTTTCATATCGACGGTACTACATCACTGTCATAAGGATGTACTTGCCGCTCATGTCGGAGTTACTAAGACGCTCGACAAAGTGCGCAAGCACGCTTACTGGTACGGGTGGAAGAAGGATGTGGCCGAATATGTTCGGGAATGCACCGTGTGCGGCAGTGGTAAAGGCTATCGCCCTTGGAGAAATGGCCGATTGCAGAGGATGCCCGTACAAGAACTATCGGGACCTTTCTCGCTATTAGTAGTGGACGCCATAGGTCCCTTAGTGGCTACTCCTCGAGGCAACAAGTTCATACTCGTCTTTGCTGACTATTTCACTCGATGGGTCGAAGCGTTCCCAGTGGCCCGCTTGGACACTGTAACGTTCGTGGAAGTTATGGTGAACGAAGTGATCTCGCGGCACGGAGTCCCCGAGAAACTACTGAGCGACCAAGGATCCAACTTCATCTCGAACCTGGCACGATCCTTCTACGATACACTCGGGATCAAGAAGTTGTTTGGAGCTGCTTACCATCCTCAGACTCAGGGGCTAGTCGAACGCTTCAACGGCACGCTGATCGGGATGCTTAAGATGTATGTCAACGAAGCTCAGAACGACTGGGACTTATATCTCCCCCGAGTACTGTTCGCATATCGTTCGTCGTATCACGAGGCCCTTAAGGACTCACCATTCTTCAGCCTGTATGGCCGGGACCCGGTGCTATCTCTGGACCTCGCGTTTCTCAACACGAACAACGGATGGAAGAGTAACGAATTCGCTAGCTACAGACGAAAGATATTCTTATCTCTACGGGATACGAGACGATTAGTAGAGCGCCAACTCTTGAAGGCCCAGGGCAGACACATGCAACGACTGAGCAACCAAGTACCGATTAAGTTCGAGGAGGGAGACCCGGTGTGGGTCTACCAGTACTTCCGAGCTCGTCGCGGGGAAAAGACCACGAAAAAGCTCGCTTTCGCGTGGCATGGTCCGTACCGTGTGGTCGGGATCGTGGGAGAGAACTCCTATCGAGTAGCCATCCCTTCTCACCCCAATCGGGTCGTGACCATTATCGTCAATAGGTTGAAACGTTTCCAAGGGCGATGGAGTCGACCGTTCCCTTCTGAAGTACCCGATGGAGTCCAGTTGAGTCCGGATGTAGACGACGACGGGCCTCTATCAGAAGAGGACCTCCCCTCTACTAGCTTCGTAGAGAGACTCCTGATTGGAGGGGAAGAGACGGCCCTGACCGGAGCTCCTTGCTCTGTGATCGACATAATCGCCCGACGCAAAAAGAACCGTGAAGAGCAGTTCCTGGTGTTGTTAGCTACCTACGAGACTCTTTGGAGACCACGAAACACACTATTGCCCACCTACGCTGCTCTGATCAAGGCGTTCGAAGAAACCCGTCGTCGGGAGGGAGACCTACCAGAACTACGTCGCAGCGCGCGGTTGGAAGACGCTAACGCCGCCGTTGAAGAAGAAGAGCTACTCTTCTAGGGAGGGGGAATCGTGGCGGGTCGACCCAATGAGCCAGAGTAAACTCACGACCCCGCCTCCCTCGAAAGTGTCCTGAAGAACACTTCTTACGACTTTGTATATTTTTGGATTCTACTTCACAAGTGGCTGATCTCCTACATACCAAAAAGAAAAACAATCTTACCGCGATCTCAAGAAAAAGAAACGAAAACAACAAGTGGGGACGAATCGTGGTGAAAAACAAAAAGAAACTTAAAAAGGAAGACGATGCCAGTACTCTTACTCTCATCCAGTGAGGAACGGTTCTGGAATGGTACGAATCAATAACTTCTCGACGGCCTCTCGTTAGGCTGTTTTGTCGGACTTTTTAGCCGGCGAACTAGGAGCTGAATGAACACCCGGCGAACTCGACTTCCGAGGTGCTGACGGGGACCGCGAGGCCGAGCGTCCCTTAGGGTGCACTGCCTTCTTCAAGGAAGACACCGAACGCGACCGCTTACGCGTACCGTCCAGCGACGCTGGAGCTGACGGAGAAGTCGGCGTTTTGCCGTTGATCGGTTTGTCGGAGGTGACTTTACTCCCCTTCGAGTGCGAAGGTGATCGTGCTTTGCCCCGCCGGGACTCCCTACTCGTCTTGATGGTTGAGGACTTCGTCGGAGACTTCGACCGAGACGCAGGACGCTCCTCAGAACGTGACCGACGGACTTCTTGTGCACTGGGGACTTCGATCGTGACCGTAAAGGAGAAACAGAACGTTCTGGCGAAGCAGCGCGCGCTTTGAGTTTGCCTTTAGCGCGTGAAGATGAAGAGGACCGCTTGCGCGACGAACTTAATCGAGGCTTCTTCAGGGAGGTAGAACTGCGAGACGGGGAACGGGAACGCTTCGCGCGCTCTTTCGCCCTCCGAGACTTGTGAGGAAGCTGTAGACGCTTGTTGGGAGGCTCGTCGTCCTCCGAACTTTCGTCGGAACTAGAAGAAAGGCGCAGCGTCTTCTTAACGGGGCGGAGTTCTTCAGAGTCGCTCTCGGCTTCATCCTCCTCGTAAGCCGACTCTTCCTCACGCGCTTCCTCCCAAATCGCCGTGTAAGTGCCGTCCGTACGCTCATACGCCGCGTATCCCGCCGAGTCAGCTTCAGACGCATCTAAAGGGGTTACCTTGGGTGTTCGAAGAGCTCCTTTCTCCCGTTCGCGCGAAAGCTTGGCCGTCATCTTCTGAAGACGCGAGCAGTGACTAAGCGCATACCAGACTCCCTTCGAACGATCCCCTACCCAATGAGGTTCATGATCCTCCTTCGACTTAATGTCCAGCAGAACGAAGGCCAACGCCCGATCCGTGAGCTGACTGTCGGGCTTCGAGCTATTTGGGTCCAGGGCTCCGGTATGCTCCAACAACCCCGGGATGGTCGTGAAACCTCCCTCGTCGATCCGGAACTGCTTGAGAGCGTTCTTCACTTTTCGTGAGTACGCGTCTGAGTCGCGCGAGTACAGCTTAGACAAGTTGTCGATGACGGGGCCATTGTAGGACTTGGCGTCTGGGGCGTTCCGACCAGGCTGTCCTCCCATCCACATAAGGCGACGACGGTGCGCGCAGCTCTCGAATAGACGAAGGAAGCCGAAGTAGCCCCAGGTCTCGATACAAATGCTCAGGAACCAGACGCGTGCGACTACTGCCGCTATCTTAGCCTTGCGCCGCTGGGTCTGCGCGTTGGAGGTCCTCAACGGGACGTTCGCCTGCCAATCCCAGAACTTGGAACGGTTCTCGTTCCAGAAGCGCCAGTGAGAAGCGTGCACATGCGGGTACTCTTGCGGGTTGTACCACAAGTGCGAGCCCGGCTACGGATACGCCAGCTGGTACGGTTCCTGACCTAACTCGGTCGCCTCGTAATAAACCCGTTTCAGATCATCGACCACGGGAGAAGGAGTCGTGTCGGATAAATTGAAGGGTAACGCGAACGAAGACCACGGGTGACTCGGACGCTTCTTGCCGGATCGAGGACTCTCCGTGATCGTCTTCTTCTTAGTCGAGCCAGTGCTGACACTCTTGAGCGGAAAGCGACCATCTTGCGTGAAGCGGGGGTGCCGAGGCGGCTTCCCGCGAGTCGGTTGCCGAGGCGGCCTGGGCATGATAACTACCGGCCCCGTCAGAGCGTCCGAAGCCTTCCCCGTGTCGTCCAAGATCGCGGCGGCGACGTCGTCCAGAAGCTCGAGGCCGATGGAGCTAGCGTTTGCGGCCAGGACGTCTCGCATGAGGATCCAGAAGCGCTCGTCGGCCGGAGTGTCATCTGAAGAGGAGCCATCGGAGTCCGAAGACTCCACGTTCCAGACGGCCTTGAGACGACGCGTGGCTGTTCCGCGCGAGGTGTTCATACTGGGGTGGTGAAAAGAGAGGGCGCCGAGGGTGTGTCGGAAGTCGAGGCAAAATTGCCAAATGAGCAGGAAAACTGCCCGTCGGTGCCTGGACCTCCGGCCCTGTCTCTCTCGAGGTTCCTGTGATAACTGTATAGTGGGTGCAAGAGAGACTCCTGAAAAGGGCGAGGAATCGGAGTTCTCCTTTCCCAGCTACTGGACTTGACAGATGGGTGGCGACTAAGAAGGATGGAGGTCGAATGACGTCGAGAAGGGTCGCCAGGGGAGTACTCAGTTTCTTATTTGCCGAGTGTACTCCCGTCTAAATGGAGCCCCATACTAGTGTCTTCTACGAGTACGCCCGCTGGGAGCTGTGGCCCGTGTACGTAGGGGCTGTAACGGTCTGGGTCCTAACGACTCCTCTACGTAACGTTACCTGGGAGTTCTGGGTCCAAGTGTGGCGTGTGATCAAGTTGAACTGCGATACTTGGGGCGACTGTGCGTCGTTATACAGAGACGTACTTCAGGCAAACGAACTTCGTCAACTTCGGGGAGCTACCTACGCGTATGGAGTGTGGAGCGCGCTATTTGCTGTGCCCCCTATTGTTCTACTCAAAGGAGAAGAGAAGTATGGTCGTTATGGACGGATGTTGCGGAGTTGGTGGATCGCCTGCAAGGTGACATTCTCCGACTACATCCCCGAAGTCCTCCTCCGTACAAGAGATTCGAGCATACGCTATTGGTACGCTTTCTGGGACGCTCTCAAGGCCACGTGGATGCGCCTGTACGCGGTGGGAGAAGCCACCTGCTTGATAGTACTACTATGCCTGTCTCTACTGCTGTACATCCCGGTCAACGCCTTCGATCTGGTGGAGTTCGTACTCCTGGGACCAGTGGGTGTTGGGACTGTACTATTGCTTCTACTAGCTACGAACTACTGCCTCGAGTGGACCGGCTGGGGTCTCGCCGACACTCTTGTCGTGGTGGTCGCTGGTGTGGTATCTCACGCTTGTCGTCAATACGACGAGGGGAGCCCCCTCCGATCTGTCTCCCCTAAGGTGCTGGTCGAACTAGCATTGACGAGTACCCGCCACAACGCTTCTCAACGTAGTATGGCCGAGGCTCGGAACATCGAACGTCTGCGGGTCGACGACGATGTCGAGGTGCTATATGACTTTCAAGCCGCTGACCCTAACTACGTTGAGGACAGCTCCGAGGACTACCACGAAGCGTTCCAACCTCCCCTGTCTGAAGAAGTTGCTAACGACGGAGTCTATAGTACTAGCGTGAGAGATGTACGCAGAGGAACCGTTCGCCGAGGACGACGAACGACAAGTCGGGGAGGATGTCCCGTACCCGGGAACGGAGGGGTCATTCCAGGAGCTCTGCCTCCCGTCGGGATGACCCGAGACCCTGGAATCACTCCTCGCCCCGCCGTCCCGTCAGGGTGATTCCCGTTGAACTCAACCTCGCACGTACCCTTGACCGAGCCCGTTAGGGTGGTACTATAAGGGGACCCCTGAACGCCGGAGTCTTGGCGTCGGGGACCAAAAGCACCTCGCGACATCAAGCCCTTTCCCAGAGGCTCTCCGTTGTCCCACGAAGGCCGACAACAAACGAAGTGAATCCTTCCTTTTTTTTAGGTAGTGTAGTGTATGTAAGGTCGAGAAGGTGTTAGGCCTCTCTTCCGGTTAGCTCTCAGTCTTATATTTCCCTCCTTCTACTCAAGAGGAAGCCAAGCCAATCAACAAACTTTTATTTTCAACTCTCTAGTGTTCCTATCTACCGTTCCTGCAGCCACTGAACAAGACCGTACTCCCTGAACAGCCGCGGACTACCCGACCCTTGAAGGAAGAGGAGGTATACGACATCTGGTGGAGAAGCAGGGTCCTTCTCCCGAGGTTTATCAGTGAAACGGAGGAGACGGTCGTGCAAGAGACAAGTTATAAAGAATCCCCAAAGAGGAAGAAGAAGGCAACGCAACAAAATGAAGTGACGTCACCATCAACTGATGCAAGGGGCTCCGTAGCGGAGCGGAGTCCGCTGTCTCCTGAACCAGCTTTAGTACCAAATGTATCTCCAGCTCCGACTATCTGTCAAAACGAAGTCCCAGAGCTACCATTGCAGCCAATTTCCGTCTCTCCGCAGCCTGCTGAGCAGGAAACGCCGTCCGTTCGTAAAGATGAAGTCCAAGCTGTTGACGTGAAAGAGTTCCCCAACAGGATAGATCATGCGTGCTCTTTAGAAGCGGTCCGAGCAACTTGGTAGATTGGCACAATCTCACAGACAACTTGCCGATGTAACGCATAAACTCTTGGAGGCTCTGCTCGATCGGCAGGGCAAAATGTAACAACAAAATACAGGTAGAGGCAACAACAAGCTGCCCCTCTATACAAGATTTCAAATTTCCGTGGGGGGCATCCTTTTTCAATTATACTGAAGTAGGGGCCACAACCCAAGTCAAACGAGGCTTGTAGTTTGATAGTTTGATACAAAGTTAAGGGCACCACCAGTCTAACCTTCAAACAACTGCGGGGGTCACTCCAACAGCGCTCAATGACCCCCCCCCCCCTATTAATATCTTCTTCTGTGGAAGAAGACAGTTTTTGTCACTCTATCAAATGAGCTTAAAACAGCCACATCAGCGAGCATCTTTTTTAAAAGAAAAAAACTTATTGGAACGCCGTCGCGCCTGCTTATTGACAATTCTGATATTACAGAAAATACGAACTCGAGCACTCGCATTGTGTCGATTAGGAGGAGTGGATTGCGGTGGTCAAAGCAATCATCTCGAATTGATCCCGGGAACCGATTTACTCCTTGAATCAAAAGCATCCGTGAGCCGGGTGTCAAATCCTCAGCAAGTACAGTACTGTAAACACGTGATACAGTACTATTAATATAATACATGAAGTAGTTTAATTCAATAAAAATATCAATATAATACATGTACAGGTTTAAGGGGTTAAATTGCGGAGTGAATGGAGAATGGTGACACGACAATGAGCTTTCGCGTCATGTTATCAAGCCAAAACCCAGTTCGGCTGTTGACTGATAATAACGTCCAGGGGCGGAAGCGTTTGCCCACTTTTGTCGTTGGGAGCACATCTCGCTTCATTTCCTACAAGAAACACGACAGGGCCAGTACAATAATCACAATACTGTATACATGTAATTCGTGAGTCACGGTCACTGTCTTGCCAACAACTCTTGGCAGTGCTAAGAGTTCGATCCCATCACTTCCACAACAGACAGCAGTGAGTCAAAGCCAATCCACGAGCAGCACCATGCGGAGCGCTTTCTTCCCGTTGATCGCAGCCGCCATTGCCGCCATCACGACCGCATCGAATGACTTCCTGTACTCAACACGGATGATCGAGAGCGTGATCAGCCGAAAGCAGGGCGTGCTCTCGTCGGGTGCAGTGACCAGCACGCTCGAGTCGGGTGTCCTCGCTCTCGCAATCCAGTCGTGGCTCAAGGCTTACGGCACAGACGGCGACTCGGAGCGCGTCGCCAATTTTACGGAATACGCAGACTCGATCGTGACGTCTATTTCGCCTGCCTTCAAGAGCCCCGAAGCCGCTGCAAAAATGCCCATGGACCGGCTCACCATCGGCCAGGCCCTGCTCCGTATCAACGCAACTGAGGGCACCCTCACCGCAGCCGATTCGGAGACTTTGTCGTTGCTCAACTCCTCGTTGACGTTGCAGAACCGCAACAAGTACAATGGTTTCTGGTACTACGTTTACCCGAACTGGTCGTACCTCGATGGCACTGTGTCGTTCCTGCCTTATATGGCTTCAGCACCGGGCTGGTCGTATGAGGACATGCTCCTGCAGATTGAGCTGCTGTACCTGAACACCTACGACAAGTCCACCGGATTGGTTGTACACGGCTACGACGCCTCCAAGACGGCGGTGTGGGCCAACAAGGTCACTGGTGCGAGTCCCTATGTTTGGGGTAGATCGCTGGGCTGGTACCTGGCCGGTCTTGTCAACGCGTGGGAGGAACTTGGAGACTGCCATGGCAAATCTAACGCCGAATGTGTGCGTCTGACAGATGCGATCCAGCTCCAGGCCTCGCAACTGTGCAAGAGCATCGCTACCTACGCCGACAAGGACACGGGTGTGTGGTGGCAGCTACCAACGTTCGGTGGCAAAAAGGGCAACTTTCTCGAGAGCTCTTCCACGATGCTCTACACCTTTTCCATTCTCAAGGGTCTGCGCCTCGGCCTTCTCAAAGACGAGGCCAGCAAGCTTGTCAGCACTGCGATCAAGGCCTACAACTACACCGTCAAGAGTGGCGCTTTCCTCCTTGACTACCATAACGGTACCCTGGGCTGGAACGGAACTGTGGCGGTCTGCAGCCTCAACTCGACGGCAACGTACGAGTACTATGTCGGTAGGCCGATCGTGCACAACCACGCACTTGGTGAGGGAGCATTCATTTTGGCGAGCTTGGAGATGGAGCGTATCACCAATTAGGACATCGGGGGCGTAACCTGGGAAAAAGAAATACAAACACTCGGTAAAAATCTTTCATGTTTGCTACTGCAAGTACTCTCAAAGAACTCACTTCGTTTGCCGTAAGTAGACTCAACTCCAATGGGCTCCACGAAGAGCGGTAACTTTGTGGACGTGTAATGTTATTCCTACTTGTAGTACTTTTAGACCGGGTGTGATGTTTACACTTTTTGGTAACCGTTTTGACAAGGTGGCTGAATCTGCCGTTAACTGCGCGCCACAAGGAACGGGTCCATCCAATCGATGTCTACATTCAAGTCGAGGAACTCGCAGATAAACGCCACGTACGTGTCGTAAATTCCATGTGCGCTCGCTCCTCGTTACAAGTACGCAATCGCGGCCATTTTGGACCAAGGAGTTCCAGAATCGCAAGTTCTTGTGAGTTGGCTCCATCAAATGTACGTACAAGAAGTCTCGATATCTACATGTAGCTCCGTACTCGTGTGTTCACAGCAGAGCTCGCAATCGGGACAGTAGCGGGTATACTCGGTTTCGGATTGGACACGGGTACCCGAACTCGAGCTGGCAGTTATTCGGATTGATCCGAATAAAATATTTTTTCTCCTTGATTTATCAGCGAGTTCAGAGCTTTCTTGAAAAAATGAGCTCTCGGCCACTGTTTCCCGTACCCATGGGTACCCGAAATGAGGAGCGGACCGAATTTCGGTTAGTACACGGGTACCCTAATGAAGGGATGGACTGGTGTGTGGCTTTCTCGTGGCTGACCTTTAAGGGCTAAGCGAGTTACCGTCACTTGATCGAGTTTTCGAGTTTCAAGCGCCTGGCCATCGCCATCACGCCGCTGCTCGAGAGGATGCCAAATATGACGACACATCGTCACCATGCTGAATTTGTCGTCATCAGCCCAGACCTATTTGAATGGAGTCAATGGAGTTTGTCGTTTGAAGATCTTAAGCTGCATGACTGGCCCTTCTACGAACATGCCAGCAGCAACTTGTCTCGATGCAGCTCCATTCTCGAGAAGGAACTCCCCACAGCCAGTGTTAAAACGTTTTCAGCAACTTATCCGCCCCAACCACCGGCAGTAATACACTCACCAGCATTCCAACAAAAGAGACGACAAAAGTGTGTGACCACATTCCATTCGGGGCAGAACGAAGTTCCAGGGGGGACATGTGAAATTCGAAGGCAGGCCTGCCGGGTCAAACATAAATTGCTCTTCGGAGGTACCAGATTCAAAAGGGCATCGCTTGCAATCCAGAACTCGAGAAGTGGCTTGGCTGCTGTCAATGAGAACTAGCATGGCAGAAACACTCGACGCAGACGTATCCAATCGCCCAGCATAACGTTGCGGTCGCTTTACTTGGGACTCCACATTCCCAGGCGCGTGTCGAACTGCATCCGTAGGAACTTATTGTAGCGCACAAGGTGTCGTCTGTCATGTGTCTTGACTGCTTCATCAACGCCTAAGATTGCCAGCGGCCACACACCCAAAGTTACGCCCCAGAAAGTGCAAGGCACCGACTGGCTCACAAAATGCCACAGAGTGACTCCATCAGCACCAACGATCCCCGCACGGAGCATACTCAGGGCAAACTGGAAGCACAGCAGAAGACATGCTGTCGCCACCCACATGACGTTTCGGAAGGGAGAAAGCTCAAACATACTCTCGCATCGATACAGATATCCACAAGATGAGGTCACGATGCAGACGCCAATCAGCAGCAGCATCCCAGCTTCAGCGCGATCCACCGCAGCCGAGACGACAGCTGGTCTCGGCATCATCGTCACTAACTCGCTGTCTAGTACGAAATCCGTCCATCGATACTCGCGAAAATTTTCTCCAAAGGCGCTCGGATCAGCAGCGTTCGATGCTTGCAGAGAAAAGCCCAGCAAGCACTCGAACACGGCGATAGATAGCAGCACGGAAGGCACATGACGCCCGACAAAATAGGCGACCAGCCGCGGCAGATCCTCTTCAGTATCAAACTCTTCGTTCTTGCGTGGAGTCTTCTTCATGATGCCTTTCTCGCTTGCAGACGCAAGCATGGACAGACCGAGGGCAGGCACCAAAATCCACAGCAGCCAGAAGACGGAGGCGCACGAAAGCTGCGGCACGTGCGGGAACGGAATCGCGTGGGACGCGAGGATGATCGTGGCGATGAAAAGCTGCGAGATGAACATGAACGTTTTCATCTGATGGAAGTTGGTGAGCATTCGTCGTCCCAGTCGGATGAGCTCAATTAAATGAGCGACACTCGCAGTCCCATCCGTAGTTGCATCATCCTTTTCCTTGCCGTCAGTGGCCTCAGAGCGTGCCTTGTCTTGGCTGCTAGCGTCATCCGGAGCACTCTTGAGACGAAAGGCACACGCCAGGGTGTTGAGAATGTGACTGAGTTGGACATCCTCGTCAGAGAACACAGGGAGCTCCTTCCCGTGCGGAATCGGCTTGTCGAAGAAGGCGTGGACACCACCCTGCAAAGCTACTGCCAAATCCGCCTTCGAGAACAGTGGCGCGTTGCTTTCCTTTAGTGACGAGCCAACGCCCATGACAACCTCGTGATTCTCCTGAAAGATCGAGATCATCTCGCTGATCGTGTCCGGCGTGCTGTCCGTGTAAAGTGACACCAGCAACGGGACATTATCCACCTCAGCCAGATGCCGCTTTATGGCCTCGACTCCGTGCGGCAGTCGAGCCTTCACGTCCCAATCCGAGTAGTTCGATGTCATGCGATGAGGGTCTGGGCCGTCGCTTTCCAGCGGGCGCAACGAGATTGCACAATTCCAGTCCGTCTCGATTCCCATTTTCTCGGCGAGTAGTTTGCTCCTGCGCATGTTACGCGGCGAGAAGTACACGAAGCGAATCCCACACGCGTTCAGGTCTTCGATAAAGTCAGGCGTGTGCTGCTTCGGTTGGACGCCAGTCGCGACCATTCCCAAGAAGATCTGGTCATCCTGAATACGCCAGAGCATGGAATCCTTCTCAACAGAGCTTGTTTCGGATGGATGCAGCTCCACAGACGACTCTAGGTCGCTGATTGTGAGGTTTCCACGTCTTTTCGAAGGTGGAGTGATTTGCCCGCTTGGAGGAGCCCCAGCGGACTTGGCTGCTCGTACTCCAGAGATCGATTCTTGGTCTAGCGACATGTCGTCCACGGAGTCTGGGGAGGCCAGCGGTGATAACGGACCCGAATAACTCATGCGTCTGGTCTCTCGCCCAATTCCTTGATCTTCACTCATGCTGCTTGAAAACGGCATGCTGTTCCGCGGAGCAACGGAGTGCGGGGAGTTCAATTCACTGGCCGCGCTGTCGTCCACGAGATACACTGGCGGTAGAGTGCCACCCAATCTGCGGGTCGGTCCAGTGTTTGGCGAGTCGACAAAGCTCCCTCCGTTGCTGCTAGAGCCAGTACGACTGAAGAGACTATTGAGCTTGTGAGGGACGGGGACGTAGGAAAACGCGATGCAGTCCAAATCCTCCACACGCCACTGGTTGTACATGTCCAGAATGGTGCGTTGTTTTTCACTCGTGAGCGGACAGATAGACTTGCCATCCCAGTACTCGCTGCAGTGAGCCAACACGACGGTAGGATGGCCACGTGACAGTAACTGGTGATGGTGCGAGCGCTTGTCAAGCACCACCGTTGAGTAGAGATGCGACTTGAGATTCCCCCGGTATCGCGTATCTTCCTGGCCCTGGTCGTGGTGATCGTTTGTGTGTTCGTGGTGCGCCAGTCGAGGGCAGATAATATGAATGGACTGTCTTCTCTGGAACGCCGTCAGATCATCAGCCACGGAGAAGCCCATTTCACGAGAGAGATTCAGCAAATGCTTCGGAAAGGGCAGCATCCGAATGTGAGCTGACAGTCGCTGCATACAGCTCCGCAAGTATGGGTCCCTCGTATCACCATCATCCACAGGACAAAGCCCTTCGTTCACAAGATAGCGCATGTTCTCCTCGTAGTGTCGCGCCGGATTCTCGTCATCGTTGACCATTATAGCCAAGCCAATCGGTTTTAGCGATGGCAGGTGCTGCTTCCACTTCGGATCTTCAAACTGTAGTCCAGTGTCACAATTACGCTCCGCATGCAGGTCCAGAACTGTGGAATTGTTGCCCTGTTTGTCGTTCAGAAGAAAAATCTCTTCCACCGACGGAGCTTGCTCGCATAAAATATCGTCGTCGAAGCAGCACAACATTGTGACGTTTCCCAGGCGCTCCAGGAGGCGGAACGAGCGAAATGGCACAGGAAGATGCCGCCGGTCAGATACATGGGCAACATCACAGTGCATGACACGGAATCGGAGCACCACGAGGAAGTACTGCAGCGATCGCATGGTTGCCGACTGCTTCTGAGCCTTCTCGGAGCGCAACTTTTCACGGTCTTCAACGTCGAAGACATCTGGCGGTGCAAACGCTGTGGCTTTCAGGATCGACGCCATCGCACTATCGATACCAGATAGACGCTCGTCTTGGCGTGGGTCTTTGTTGGACGTCTTTGGCGTGCCTGTATTCGCTTTTGGTGGAGACTTTTCAGGCGTTTCTTCCTCGTTAGACCCATCACCCACATTCTGCTCCTGCTCTTGGCTTATGCTTTCTTTCGGTGCCAAGATGTCGTCGAATGAGCCTAAGATGGATGCAGTAGCCGCGGCTTCCGCGATAAACAAGACCAGTGGCGTGTTCAGCGACGCAAAGCACAGCCAAATCCCAACAGGTCCGAGCAAAATGTGGCTAAGCGTTGTGTCCAGCGATCGATGCTGTACCACCACACGCAGTCCGATCGCCACGAGCACCAACACGGAATACAAGGTGCAAATAGAAATGGCCAGCTGTCTCGCTTGTGCCTGAAGCTTCTGCGTCGGCGTCACGGGTCTGTTTATGCGGAACAAGGCGTCTTCAATATCCCTGACCACAGGCGTCTCCAGCATCTCAAAAATCCGCATCTCACCGCACAAATCCAGCAGCATGGGAGGATCAAACGTCGCTGTGCATCTCGTCGTGTCCTTCGCGTGTCTCCTCGTCCAGGACGGCAGCTTGCATCCTCTGGGAAAGACTTGCTGCTCCTCGCTCCCATCCCCTTCCACTGGTCGCACTTCTCCCGGGGCGATATCTCCACTCATCAAGCCTACGACGTCTCCTTCTACCAGCAAATTCATAGGCAGCCGCTGCCACTGACTGTCTCGATAACACGCGACGTAGCTGTTCGAGGGCAGCAGCACCGTCGGCTCCGGTCCGCCGCCCAGCCAAATGGGTGGGCGCTGGTCCTCTTCCCGCTCTTTCTTCTTGTCGCTATCTCTCTGCATCTGCTGTACAGCCACTCGGACTCTCTCAGCCATCTCTGCATGGTGTCGACGCTTCTGCACCATGTTGAGCAGCACGTTGCTAGCTGCTGCGGCCACCAGGAAGACTCCTTCCGCCACTGCAGCCGAGCCTCGATCCGTCTCCATCTCAGCGAAGCGTCTGGCTGCGTCAGTGAGTCGGAAGGCGGCACACAGTGCCAGTAGTAGGAAGAAAGGGTCCCGGAACTCGGTTGTGACGTTGGACGAGCTCTCTTTCTCGCGGATCTTGCGCTCGATGGCTTGAAGCAGCCGCTGACGAGCCGCCAGCGTAGACAGCCCCAGCACAGGATACGACGACGCTATACTCGATAAGTTGCTAGAGCTGCTGCGAAATGTGCTGTACCCGACGCTGGCATCCACGGAGCGACGCAGAGGGTAGTTCGGAGGTCGCGAGTTAGAGCGCGACAATACCTCGCGACGCCGCCACGGCACGGGTGAAGGCGTAAGAGACGCCATCTGATGAAGGAAAGTATGATGATGTCAGTGGGATCGAGGACAATCAGCGGGAGCTCAAATACCTAGTAGAGATAGCGCTCAAGACAGACGAGCAAGGATCGCGCTGCGAGTGCGCACATGAAAGAGTGAACGTCACTCCTCAAGGATGTCAGAAGCTGCATTTCTAGCCATTGAATCAGACAAGTTTAGCGCAATATTCACGTATTTGTTCTCAATTATGTCAAATCTATTAAACTAGACAGAGGTAGAGAAGAGGGATAGGTTCCCAATACGGCGATGGGATTGGCAGAATTTTAATTTAAGGAACGTGATTGGTCCAAAGTGCCTTGCGTGCGAACCACCCGAAGATAGCTGCCACCTCAGTCTGGGATTCGACAGCGAAGGAACGAAGATGCCGAAGAACAAAGGAAAGGGAGGCAAGAACCGCCGCCGCGGAAAGAACGACAACGAGGAGAACAAGCGCGAGCTTGAGTTCAAGGAAGAGGGCCAGGGTGCGTTGTCGTGCCGCTTAAACGTCGCTCGAAATGTCGAGCGACGTTGATGTATACACATGAGTGGGTCCATCTAATGTATACATGTATACTTTCCCCACAGAATATGCGCAGGTTGTACGAATGCTGGGAAACGGCCGTCTGGAGGCTTACTGCTTCGACGGTGTGACGCGCCTTGGCCACATCCGCGGCAAAATGCGCAAAAAAGTCTGGGTGGGCGCCGGTGACATCATTCTCGTGAGTCTGCGCGAGTACCAGGACGGCAAGGTGGACATCATTCATAAATACAACGCGGACGAGGCCCGCAGTCTCAAAGCTTACGGAGAGCTTCCGGATAACGCGCGTATCAACGAAACTGCAGTGGACATGGCCATGGAGGGCGACGGCGAGGACGACATTGGCTTCGACTTCGACGA